ATCGCTTGTCGAATGCTCGGGTCCGTAGTTGGACACGGCTAATGTAAGTCGGAGGAATCGGACGAGCGTAGCGGCGCCTGCTCGTGAAATTTCCTTCCTTCTAAACTCAGAATGAGTGTAGGCAAGCAATGGTATTCCCAGCAATAAATACCCTTGTCAAGAGGTTTTAGAAAAGGCTGCCCTTTGTCGCCATATCTCTTTATTCTGGTGGCTGAGATACTAGCCTCAAAAATAAGATACGATAATACTGTTCAAGGTATCAAGCTTTTTAAGAAGGAAATTAAACTGAGCCAGTTTGCTGATGACACCTCCCTTATATGTAAAAATTTGACAAGCGTTGGAAAGGCGCTTGATATTCTTGCTGATTTGGGGGCTATCTCAGGTCTTCTTTTGAATAAGTCTAAAACAAAAGCCTTGTGGTTAGGACCTTGGAGATCTAACCGTGGTAGACCTCCGGGTCTAGCCTGGACCAATGAACCGGTGAAAGTCTTGGGGACCTTTATTTCGTATGATAGTGTTGGCAATGAACGGAAAAACTTTGCTAAGAAGGTGAATAATCTCAAGACAAAACTTGCAGCTTGGCGTTCGTGTAAACTCTCTCTGTTTGGACGGTGCTTGATTTCGAAAACCCTAGGATTANGTGGCCACATTTTTAGAATTTTCTTTGATTTTTACTGACATTTACTCTTAATATTTTAGAATATACTATTGTAGATAAGTATATACCAATTCAGTGAATAGGCGTTTTGCATGCTCTGATTGGCTTTTTAATCTTGGGATAGTGTGTGGTATTTGCCTCACTGTAAACCGAAAACCAATAAAAATATGTTGAATACTTTCATTGTACATTTACAGCGTTTCTCAGTACCTTTCCAAGGTTTTTATATGACCTAAATTCATGGTATTTCCATGGATTTACCACCATGGAAAAGCCACAGAAAATCAGTGAAACATAACGAAACAAAACACACATGCATGTTCTTATAAGAAAACCCCCTTAATGCAGCTGGTCGTTAATATGACCAACAGCCACTTTCTGAAATCCTATCCTGTATAATCCAAATATGGATTCATAATGTGTAGTTCCAGAAAATAACCATACCCTTCACTGAAGGGAGTTTCCTTTCTTGCTATGCACCCTTTTCCAAAATCAGCCCACAAGATATACCCCCTCCCCTCCAGAAATTCATATTTTTTTGCACAACCCCTGGAAATATTTCGATTTCTAGTAAAAGCAAGAAATAAGATAATTTATAGTTCAAGAGTCTGAATTTTGATGCTTAGGTTTGTTTTGTAGTTAATTATACTGTGGCCAACTTATGAGCAGAAGTATAAATAAATGTCATGTCTCGCATGCAGGTAATGCTATCATGGATTCATTATCTTGACAAAACTGCAACATTTCAATAATGGATAGAGTTCAAAATGCAATCTCACTTTTAAGGTCGCTGAGGAAGAACTGCTGGAAAAGAAACACTACACTGCACCAGTTAAAACAAAACAATCTAAACAACAGTTTGTATCAAATTTTGGTGTACTAAATTTGTACATTGTATTTGTGTATTTCAGAAAGGGTTGTGTCTCAGAAAGCATTTTGTTCGGCAGCTGGAAAATTTAATCTTTCTTGACCTTCAACAAATAATTTCAATTGCCTGAAAATAACATTTTTTCACTTGCATTTGTTTTATCCTGCAGGGTACATGTAATTCAATCTTTGTTGTGAACTAGCATTCTGTAGTCTGGCAGTGACAATTTGACATGTTGCTGATTTTATAACTTGCATATTAATTTTTCTTTTATTTATTATGTTAGAATATGATAAACTGCCTAATCTGGAGATGCAGCAGAGCTAGGAAATCTTTCCAGAACTAGATGTTCTTAATTCAAAGTATGGTTTAAAATTGTGTCGTTGCAAGCAGCACGCCTACGTTCGAAAACATTTAAGTGCTCATGCAGAAATGTTCTGAAAACAAACTTGTGTGAATAATGGATTCATGTTACATGCTCCCATCATAGTTAAGCAAAATCAACTCACGGCTCAACTAAATCAACTCAGGTAAAACAGAATCAACTCATAGCAAAGCAAAATCAGTTCACGGCAAAATAAAATCAATTCATGGCAAAACAGAATCAATTCACAGGGGAACTAAATCAACTCTGAGCAAAACTAAAATTAATTATCTCAGGGAGACACAAAATCAACTGGAAGCCAAGCAAAATCAGCTCATGGCAAAACAGAATCAACTGACGGCAAAACAAAACCAACTCACGGCGAAACTAAATCAACTGACGGCAAAACAAAATGAAACTGATGGCAGAACAAAATCAACTCACGGGGAATTGAAACGCGGCTACATGAGTGAAATAAAATAAACTCAGGTAAAACAGAATCAACTCATAGCAAAGCAAAATCAGTTCACGGCAAAATAAAATCAATTCATGGCAAAACAGAATCAATTCACAGGGGAACTAAATCAACTCTGAGCAAAACTAAAATTAATTATCTCAGGGAGACACAAAATCAACTGAAAGCCAAGCAAAATCAGCTCATGGCAAAACAGAATCAACTCACGGCAAAACAAAACCAACTCACGACGAAACTAAATCAACTGACTGCAAAACAAAATGAAACTGATGGCAGAACAAAATCAACTCATGGGGAATTGAAACGCAGCTACATGAGTGAAATAAAATAAACTCAGGTAAAACAGAATCAACTCACAGTGAAATGAAATAAACTCAGGAAAAATAGAATCAGCTCATGGCAAAACTAAATCAACTCACGGCAAAACAGAATTAACTCATGGCAAAACTAAATGAAACTAAATTATCTCACAGCAGAGCAAAATTAACTCACGGCAAAACAAAATCCACTCAGGTAAAACAAAATCAACTTACCGCAATACAAAATAAACTCAGGTAAAACAGAATCAACTTAAAGCAAAACAAAATCAATTCATGGCAAAACAAAAGTCAACTTGAAACAGCCAAATTGAGTCAAGTCACGCAAAATAAAATCAACTCACAGCAAAGCAAAATCAACTCACGGTGAAAAAAGATCGACTCAAAGCAAGATAAAATTAACTCTTCATGGGAAAACAATCAATTCATGGCAAATCAAAATCAACTCATGGTGAAACAAAATCAATTTACGGGAAAACAAAATCAACTCATGGAAAGTTAATAAAGTTTACCTACCTTCAACAGATCACTCGACTTGTGAAGAAACTTTGAAACAAGTGTTCTCTCAATCTTTTTAAAAAAAAGGCTTGAAAAAAGTAGCCAGAAAACAATTTTTACCGAACAGTTTCCCCTTTACAATCGCTATAAACACATCAAATCCCATGCATTGAGCTGCAGTGATGATGGGCAACCCTAAAAGCTGGAATGACAGAACAGCACAACGGCAGAACGGCAGAACAGCGGAATCACGGAATGCCGGAAAATGGCCCCAAATCCTAAAATACGTAATTGCGGAACGGCGGAAAATGACCCCGAATTCCAAAAGGCGGAAGAGTGGAACAGCAGAAGATGACCCTAAATTCTGAAAGACGGAACCGCAGAGAATCCCATGAAATCCTAAAAGACGGAATGACAGAAAATGCCCTGAAATCCTAAAAGATGCAATGACAGAAATCACCCGAATTCTTAAAAGACGGAATGATGGAAAATCACCCGAAATCTTGAAAGACGGAATGATGGAAAATCACCCAATATCCCAAAAGAGGGAACTGTAAATACTGTAAAACAAAGCCACTCTAAAAAGCTAATGCTAAGAGCCACAGATCTGCAAAAAGTTGCTTCCCTCCTCACACCCCCTCCCCCCAACAAAGGGTTAAATGATAATTTAAAAAAACAAGTAAGTGACATCAAGCTCAACTATCCCCTTTTTGCGTTTTTTTCCTGCATGAATACAAGTTCCGCGGAAATTATCTTGCTGATACCATGTTGAAACATCATGTTGTTAGAGTTAATGTAACTCAAAAGGACTGGAGTGATTTATAAAACTCTGCAGGTAATCCATCTGTTCCTGGCGATTTTTTGTTTTGGAAATCATTTAAGGCTTTTAGGCATTCTTCAGATTTACTGGTCCTTTTTCTCTAGAGGGGTAATGTTTTCAAAGAAAGCGGAGCCTGCATCATTTGAGTTTTCAGGATGCGTAGCTAAAGTGTAAAGAGCTTTATAATATTCCATTTGCTCTTGAAGAATCTTGAATTGATCGTTTGTGACGGTACTGTTTGAGCGTTTTAATTTTGCAATTGTCTTTTTTTTTCGCATAATTTCTTTTCTCAAGGTCATAAAAGTAACAGGTGTTGCGTTCGCTGTCTTCGTACCACCTCACCTTACCTCTTAGAATTGCACCTTTTGTTGTGTATTGCATAATCCTCTTTAGGCATAGTCTGATGCTTTGAATTTCACAAATTTTATGTTTGTTATTTCAATCTGCTTCAGCTCTTTTAAACAGATCATTAATGCGGTTCTGGAGAATAGTTTCAGTGGATTTTCTCTCTCTAGATTTGTTTTTGGAATGTTTTGCGATAAAACCACTAATCTCCATTTTAATCAGATCCCATCTCAGATTTAAATCTTCAACATCACACCAAGTTTGTAGAAAATACATATTTCATGGCAAGAGTTATTTTCTTATAATGTGGCAACCTCCCGGACTTTAAACTAACAGAGTTATGTGTCTTGCAAATTTTTCAGCTGTAAAGGTTGCTGGGAACGTTCTTATTATAATTGTAATTTTGTTGTTTTAATTATTGTTATATTATTATTATTATTATTATTATTATTATTATTACAAAAAATAATAATATTTGCCTCCTGAACTATAATTGTTACAGTGTTTTTACTTGGTTCTGAGTTCTAGCCTCTTGTTTTAGGTAGTATTGATCCATCAAAGTAGAAAAGCTGAAGAATGGAGAAAACTGTGTTCAGCCACCTTCAAACATACAGTTTTCTAACTTCTCTCTGTCTAAAATGTGTTTTTTTCTTAGCTTAGAGCAGTAGAAGACCTGGACAAGATTAAAACGTTGACTCAGCTTGTTACCATACAGCTTGATGGCAATCCTTTATGTGACATGTTTCAAGACAAAGAAAGCACCTATATCAAGTATGTTTATGTTGTGATGAGTTCTCACATGTGTAATAATGCCAGTTAAAATCTGTTATAGAGATGCTAAGAGGCTGTCTCTGTAAGAACTATGGAGTCCTTTTGGCTACAGAAATAGAATTTAAATCTCCATATTTATTGAGTTATTTTGTTTTCTGACAAAAACATCTCTTGCAAGTGAATATTTGAAAGATAATATATGTGACTTCTCACTCAAAAACGTCACTAACGGATATCCGTTGAACAGTCGAAATGAACGGCTGGCGAACGGCCAACGAACGGATGGGAAAGGGATGTTCCAGCCGTTCAAAACGGTTTTGAGTATCGTTCAAACAGCCACGGAAAAATGTCAAACGGATGCTATTAACGTTCGAACGGCACTGGAAAAATTTCAAACAGATGATGCCAGCCATTTGAACGGCAAACAAAGAACTGTGAATGAACGGCTAACGAAAAATTTCCAATGGATGATGCCAGCCGTTCGAACGGCTAATGAAGAATTTCAAACAGATGATGCCAGCCATTCAAACGGCTGACGAAAAATTTCGAACGGATGATGCCAGTTGTTTGAACGGCTAAAGAAATATTTGGATCATATTATTCCAGGCATTTGAACGGCCAAAGAAAAGGGTTCGTATTGAACAAATGGTGAAAATGCGGAAGATCTTGATGTTTTGATAAAGGACGTGTTTTTGCTCCCCTTTCGTAG